CCAATATGCTCCAAGCATGACACCAATCAGCCGCACATCGAGTGGCGGTGCCTGGAAGCGGTGATCCTAGCAAGCCACTGGACACGGCAGTTTCAGTATCGCAAGGCGGTTGGGTGGTCGATAGGTAGCTTTCAACATGGCCAAGGTAGGCCGTGCTGGCGATAGCGGCAAGCTCGTCTGGGTCACGCTCAGGGTCTACAAGGTCCGACTCCTGAATTGGGCTGCGATGTCCAGATGCCAACACAATGACCAGTCCAGCATTGATTTCCGTGAAGGCTTCACTAACCAGGATGATACCTTTGTTGGCCACAGGTTTTGGTGTTTCAGCGGTAGCTCGCTTATCAGTCGATCCCAGGCACGACTGGGCCGTTGGCGTGGAGTTTCTGCTCTTTTCCTCTTCACACTCAGTTGGGTGTGGGCTCGATGGTTCAGACCCACCAAAGTCAACCTCATCCTCGAAATTTCCTGTCTGGGCAGGAGGTGGCGACCTTACAGCACTGGCCACAAGGTTCTCTACGCTTCGTGACTTAGGCAGCTTGATAGGGGGCCCGGTTGCTGTTGCGTGGCTTGTCCCGTGTCAACTGATCTTGCTCTCTTCTGTGCAGGAGCAATGGGACTGCTCGGGATTGCTGCCGGCTGTCGGCCTTCATCTTTTGAGGAGTCAGGCTCAGCACATGACAGCCACAGCTCTTGAATTTCGAATAGTGTGACAGGCACACAGTCACTATCGATGAGAGCAAAGTTGATGTCTGGGAAAAGAACTAGACGACGGATGGCCCGAGAGCGTAGACGAGCAAAGTCTTCTGTTGCTAGTATGGAGACACTAAATTACAAGACAATATATTGAAGATGTATTATAGGCAGACGAGAAGAGTAGTTTCAAAACAATATATTACAAGTACAAGACAAGTTTGCATCGTATCTTTCGTAAAGTTGCAGACAGACGCTTTTACACACAGAACTGTTTACAGACAGACGCTTTTATTATACACAGAGAGGCTTTTACACACGGACGCTTTTACACACAGAGCTTTTACACACAGACGCTTTTACACACAGACGCAAATACACACAGAGACTTTTACACACAAACACGTTTACACACAGACGCTTTTACACACAGACACTTTTACACACCAACACTTTTACACACAAATATTTTTACACACAGACGCTTTTACACACAGACGCTTTTACACACAGAGACTTTTACACACAGACGCTTTTACACACAGACGCTTTTACACACAGACGCTTTTACACACAAACACTTTTACACACAAACACTTTTACACACAGAGACTTTTACACACAGAAGCTTTTACACACAGACGCTTTTACATACAAACCCTTTTCCACACAAACACTTTTACACACAAACACTTTTACACACAAACACTCTTACACACAGGAGCTTTTACACACAGACGCTTCTACAGACAGAGACTTTTACACACAAACGCTTTTACACACAGACGCTTTTACACAGAGACCCTTTTACATACAGACGATTTTACACACAGACGCTTTTACACACAGACGCTTTTACACACAAACGCTTTTACACACAAACGCTTTTACACACAGAGACTTTTACACGCAGACGCTTTTACACACAGAAGCTTTTACACACAGAGACTTTTACACGCAGACGCTTTTACACACAGACGCTTTTACACACAGACGCTTTTACACTCAGACGCTTTTACACACAGACGCTTTTACACACAGACGCTTTTACACACAGACGCTTTTACACGCAGAAGCTTTTACCCACAAACACTTTTACACACAGACGCTTTACACACAGACGCTTTTACACACAGACGCTTTTACATTCAGACGCTTTTACACACAGACGCTTTTACACACAGAGGCTTTTACACACAAACACTTTTACACACAGACGCTTTACACACAGACCCTTTTACACACAGACACTTTTACACACAGAAGCTTTTACACACAGACGCTTTTACACACAGAAGCTTTTAGACACAGACGCTTTTACACACAAACACTTTTACACACAAACACTTTTACACACAGACGCTTTTACACACAGACGCTTTTACACACAGACACTTTCACACACAGCCGCTTTGACACACAGACACTTTTACACACAGACGCTTTTACACACAGACGCTTTTACACACAGACGCTTTTACACACAGATGTTTTTAGACACAGACGCTTTTACACACAGACGCTTTTACACACAAACGCTTTTACAGACAGATGCTTTTACACACAGACGCTTTTACACACAGACGCTTTTACACACAGACGCTTTTACACACAGACGCTTTTACACACAGAAGCTTTTACACACAGACGCTTTTACACACAGACGCTTTTACACACAAACGCTTTTACACACAGAAGCTTTTACACACAGAACTTTTTACACACAACACTTTCACACACAGAGGCTTTTACACACAGAAGCTTTTACACACAGGCGCTTTTACACACAGACGCTTTTACACACAGACGCTTTTACACACAGACGCTTTTACACACAGACGCTTTTACAGACAGACGCTTTTTACACACAGCGGCTTTTACACACAGAAGCTTTTACACACAGACGCTTTTACACACAAACAATTTTACACAAACACTTTTACACACAGACGCTTTTACACACAGACGCTTTTACACACAGACGCTTTTACACACAGACGCTTTTACACACAGACGCTTTTACACGCAGACGCTCACACGCTTTCACACACAAACGCTTTTACACACAGACGCGTTGACACACAAACGCTTTTACACACAGACGCTTTTACACGCAGATGCTTTTTTACACACGCACACACGCTTTCACACACAAACGCTTTTACACACAGACACTTGTACAGAAACGAAAGCGTCCATCGCAATTTTTCCTCAGTTTTTGACGTCCAACGTCCATTTCGTGCGAAAGGGTTACGATTGACCAAGTAAAATCGCAATTTTTCCTCAGTTTTTGACGTCCAACCTCCATTTCGTGTGTAAGGGTTGCGATTGACACCTCAAAGTCGCAATTTTTCCTCAGTTTTGACGTCCAACGTCCATTTCGTGCGTAAGGGTTGCGCGGGACACCTCAAAGTCGCAATTTTTCCTCAGTTTTTGACGTCCAACGTCCATTTCGTGCGTAAGGGTTGCGCGGGACGCTTCAAAGTCGCAATTTTTCCTCAGTTTTTGACGTCCAACGTCCATTTCGTGTGAAACGGTTGCGCGGGACGCTTCAAAATCGCAATTTTACCTAGGTTTTGGACGTCCAACGTCCATTTCGTGCGAAAGGGTTGCGTTTCGTGGCGCTCCGGCGGCACCGCCCCCGCCTTAAGAGAGAATAGAAGAAGAGCGAGAGAGATCTGCAGATGTGAAGGTGTGAAGATCTAGATCTGCAGGTGTGAGGGTGTGAAGATCTAGATCTGCTAGATCTGCAGGTGTGCGGGTGTGATGATGTAGATCTGCAGATGTGAGGGGTGAGATGTAGATCTGCAGATGTGAGGATAATGTAGATCTGCAGATGTGAAGGTGTGAAGATCTAGATCTGCAGGTGTGAAGGTGTGAAGATCTAGATCTGCAGGTGTGAAGGTGTGCAGATGTGAGGGTGTGAAGATCTGCAGATGTGAGGGTGTGAAGATCTAGATCTGCAGATGTGAGGGTGTGAAGATCTAGATCTGCAGATGTGAGGGTGTGAAGATCTAGATCTGCAGGTGTGAGGGTGAAGATCTAGATCTGCAGATGTGAGGATGTGAAGATCTAGATCTGCAGGTGTGAAGGTGTGAAGATGTAGATCAGCAGATGTGAAGGTGTGAAGATGTAGATCGGCAGATGTGAGGTGTGAAGATCTAGATCTGCAGGTGTGAAGGTGTGAAGATCTAGATCTGCAGATGTGAAGAAGATCTAGATCTGCAGATGTGAGGATGTGAAGATCTAGATCTAGATCAGCAGATGTGAAGGTGTGAAGATGTAGATCGGCAGATGTGAGAGTGTGAAGATCTAGATCTGCAGGTGTGAAGGTGTGAAGATCTAGATCTGCAGGTGTGAGGGTGTGAAGATCTAGATCAGCAGATGTGAAGGTGTGAAGATGTAGATCGGCAGATGTGAGAGTGTGAAGATCTAGATCTGCAGGTGTGAAGGTGTGAAGATCTAGTATAACGGCTGCTTTTTTACGAAGAACCCTTCGCAGGCGCTCTCGGGAAAAATGGTCCAGTTCATGTTCGGTGGAAAAACGATGGTGTTTCCAAGTACACCTATGTCTCAGTTGAAAACGACTAGAACATTCCTTGTATCCCTGTTGAGTGGCCCATTGCTGCCATTCTCTGCCGGCGGTGCTTACTCTAGAGTTGGCAAAACGACCCAGAGCTTCCGTGCCTGGTGTTTGTGTCTCTAGACTATTGCTCAGTTCAGCGTTGAAATCCCGTGCGATGATGGAAATATTGGTTGCGGTGGCCATTTCTGAAATCTGGTTTACCTGGTCCCGGAGGATTTGGCGTTCTTCTACTGAACTGTCTGACGTGGGGGCGTAGGTGCCGGTAATGAACAGACCTCTGCGCCATCCTTGCCTGGGTAATTGTAAACCTGCGACCCTGGGGGATGTGGAATATATCCTAGCTCCCCCCTGATTTCCACCATGTGGTCCATATGTCCTCTAGCAGAAATGCAACTCTACCGCGTTGTACTATAGTCCATTGTCGACCATGGTAAGAAAATTCCCGGATAGTGTCAGGTCCCTGCGTGTCGGTTAGGACGATGCACCCCCAGTGTTGAATTAGCATTCGATTGATAAGACACTTTAATTTGAGTTCCCCGGTAGGAGTGATCGTATCAACTTTGAGTCCTCGGCAGTTCCAGGTAGCAATTTTGGGTCTTGTTTTGCATTCCTTCAGTCGTGTGGTTTGGGTTTCATGTCTGCGTTGCCACTGTCTTTGAAACATTAGAGTCCGTCGTTTTCTACATTTATGGTAGCATTTGAGTGTGTGTGCTAACCGTCTTTGATGATTTCGGATTTGATGTCGACCCGCTCCCGCTGCCACCGCGGTTTGGAGTACCTGGTGCCTGTCTTGGATTCGGGTCTGAAGGGCTCGGAGTCTCCGTTTGGAGAACAATGTCATGTTTCAGCAGATTATGTGCTGAACGTCGTGAAACACAAATCAAAAAAGGAAAAGAAAAAAAGAACCGCGGTGATTTCTGTTATATTTGCACTAAGGCTGTGCGTTGATATGCGTTGATTTCAACGGTCTGTGCGCTTAGTGAATGTTCGAAAAATGAAATGTGGCAAAGGTGTGTTTACCCCCTCAATACCGGATAAACTGGTCACCCTAGGGTCAAAGTCTGAGTATCACGAAAGCCCTAAATTGTCACAATCTGGTGTAAGCCACTCAACCAGAGACCAGTTGGTTGGTGGACAGTCCCATGGCCGAAATCCCGAGGAGACCCGAAACGTCGAAACGGACGCGCAGGGTCAACCGCCCCAGGTTCGAGCCCATAGGAAAGTGTGAGTGGAAGACCGATTCCGCCTCACGGCACTCTATAGACGTGGTTTTAGTCAGAATACCCCGCAAGAAAAGTCCGCAAAAGAGGCTCCTGCCCAAAGGACAGGGTGGATTTGCCCGGCTTAGACCCTTTAGTGTCGAAATCTTGTCTATCGCGTGTGCACCTATCAGATAACCTGCGCGGTAGGCGGTGCGGCTAATAACACCAATATCCCAGTATATCCTGTGATATAGCGCTGTTATCTGAACCCAATAGGCGTGTGACTGCATATATAAGTGAGATCTGCGATATTGTAGGAGTATCTCAGTATCTCCTTTTTGGGGTGAACTAGAAAAAGGTACTATCCAGAGTTGCCGGTTGCCCCGAAGATGCCCTCGTGGAGGTACAGGTCTTCCGATGTCTCCGGATAGTCTCAGAGATCGCTGCCTCTGGCGCGATTAAACCTGTAATCACTGCTATGCCTTTCAAAGCTTCCACAGCCATCCCTTGGCTTTGGGACACTGCCGCAGGTCGGCACCTCATTGGACGCCAAGCCCTCACACCAGCCATGCGGGAGAATGTACAGCACTCCCCAAACCCCGTAGCTTTCGCTACCGTGGTGGCAGCCAATCCGGCAAAGAATCCCTAACCTTTAGTGGCAGCAAGATTCTTGATGGTGAAGAGGTCTATGTTCTTGAGGCATGCCCTCCAGCACAAAGTATAGGTACAGCAGTCATAGACAAAGGTTAAATGTTCATCTGGGATCCACGGGAGAGCGTCCCATATCTAATAGCTCCCGAAAATGTCAATCGATGCAGGCTAAAAGTTCCCAAGAACGCTAAAATCTGCGCATCTAGGGTGGTAGACTATGTCCCACAATATGATGAAGAATTGACCCCATATTCATTTGAACCAAGTGAGCGCCTCGCTCCCGTACCAAATGCAATGCCAGCTTCATCCGTAGGACCCAAGACACTTGTAGAAGTAGATGATCCCACTAATCATGGTAATTCGTCAATCCCTGCATATGATGTCTTTCCACCCGCAAAAGATGTAAAAAACATCTAGCACCTGAATCTGTTGATGACGCGGTTGGTTTGGCTAACGCGTCGGGACCTAAAATGGTCGTTGTCGAAGTTTCCAACGTACCCAACAACTCAATGGATGACCAGCTCCTAGTCGAACTGGGAGGCTGTGAGCCGCCAAAAGATAAAATCTTGAAGCAGCAAGCCACCAATCCAAAACACATGCGATTAAACTTTTCAAATAGCCAGTTTTACCCCATTAGCCATATAACTAAAGATAACGCTATGAAGTTTTCACATTCCAATGACGGCAAAGTCGATGGTTTAGTTGATTCTTCAGAGCAGCAGCACGAGCAGCTCTCAGCAAGCAGCGTTGTCCTAGATAAAGGCTCCCAAAAGGTTGAGGTACTAACAGGCAAAGTTGAGTCGCATAGAAGTGAAAGCGTAGCAGTCAAGGTGCACAACCCAAAGCGTTCGGTGCCTGAAGGCGATCTCGTCTTCCCAGTAGGTATGTTATGTGGTCATGCCCTCTTCAGGGGGGATAACCCACATGACTTGAAATCCCCTAATAATACTGAGGATGACGTTCCCTGTCATAAAGATGGAGGCAATAATGACCCTTCAACACCTGATCTTAGGAGATGTCCCATGAACACCCTCTTAGATCATGTCCCCACTGCTGAGGATACGCCTGGATGTGCCACCTGCAACACCCATATGCGGCATTCTGCCGACCAACGCTGCGCCCACTTCGCAAACACGGTTGAAGAAAAGAAACGACATAAAAAGGGAAAGAAAGCACCACTTAACGCTAGCACACAAAGAGTCAAAAGTGACGCGGATGCTGAGCCCTATGCTCGCATCAGGGTAGGTGAAGAACTCTATAACCCAATTCCATCACATTTGTCCCTTGATAGCGATGAACATCATAGGATAATGCATAAAGGTGGTCCCAAGTTGGAGCTTCCCAATCCTGATGTCCCGCCACCCTCAAGTGCTAGCGTTTCAAATGCACTAATTCAATCCCAAGTTGTCATCAACCTCAATCCCTTGGCAGGAGTCGCTTCCAGGGTCTAACCGACCATGATCGCACTAACCGTAGACATCGGCAAGTTGCCAAGAACGCCTCCAATGCGAATGCTAAGCCAATCACGTCTAAGATTGCCTGTTCCCCTGACATCCAGAAGTTGTCGGCAAGTGAAGATAATGGCATTCCATGTGATGGACTTAGTAGGGATAATATAGAGTTAGGTAATGAGTCGCAGTGCGGACTGCTGGGCAATCACATAGCTGAACCCGCTGAAACCGCGCCACCACTTATGTGGACCACACCCTCCTGCTCACATACATTCCCTTGGCAGCGCCCAAACCATAATGAAGGTCTTAGGTCAAGGGCAGCCGCCCCACTTAGGAAACCTTCCCGGCACATAACTGCCGATACCACCATCGCCAAACCATAGCCAACGCATAGATCGCTGCGAGTGCCCGCTTGCGCGATAGTAGTGCGTAGGTGCCTGCCAAAAGCGCAGAGCGTGGGTCAGGCGAGGGGGAGTTGAAATATATCGACCCCTGAGCCCCCACTACATGTAGCATAGCAGGTAGGTATAGCGTAGTGTAAATAGCGTAGCTATGAGTTCCAATCCACTCCAAACAGTTATATTGAATACTCAATGTACAGAATAGCACCCCATATCTTGTTCTATAGATATGGAGAGTAGCCGTAGTTAGAAACGAGTATCTTCCCCTAACCTATAACCAGCAGGTCAGGGGTAATGTAGGTACGTCGTTGACGCTTGGCTCAAGTGCCTTTGATAGAAAAGGTGCTTGGTCGTTTTTACAGGGCTATGGGCGGATTAGGTCACCCTTGTTCTTTTGGGTTGTTCTGGTCGTCCCCCTGCTTTCACTATAATATTATATAACGTTATCTAATAATCTCATATCTAATTTATACTAGGGGCACATAAATACACACAGTTGTAGGGATCACCCATCTCAATATCCGAGTACCCATTAGAAAGAGCCTGATAGGGATCATCCATCTACTGTACTATATCACACATACATAAACACGCGGAAAGAAAAACATACACACAGCTGTAGCTACACATTATGGCAAGTAACAAAAACCAGCAATCAGCTTCAATGGCTCATTGATTAAGAATTGGACAGAAACATTGTAGTCTTAAAATTCCATCTCCCAAGATTCGCAGTTGCCAGCAGTTCCATCCCCGATCCCTTGGGCTACAGGTGAAGGCGCTCCTGCTGTCAGCCTGTCTTTTTTCGACGATCACCTCTTTCCAGGTTTGGGCGGCGTATCTCGCAAAGTCTCGCGCTTTGCTGATGGATTGCACCATGGCAGCTATGGCCCAGGTGGTGGGTGGTTGCGCCATCTGGGAAGGTTTGCGCCCAAAGGCCTCAGGATGTTTGAATGTTTTTCCCCAAATTTCAAGCACATGGTGTGAATTATGATTCACATCAATGCAAAGAAAGAACATTTGCGAAAAGAAGGTGCTTGGGCCATGAAATTTATTCCGATTCATGGTGTTTCACTTGAAAATCTGTGTAGATTTTCATAGGTAGTGAAGATTAGGAGCCATTTAGAGGGATTCAGAATGGATTCAGATCCTGCCCCGTTCTGTTTCTGGGGACTGATTTCAAGATTGCCACTTTAATATGTCACTAATATGTTACGCTGGTATGAGAGAGGTAGGGTTTACCATCGCCAGACTTCACGAGTCCAGGGTGCCTTGAGGTATCTCAAGTGCAGTGGATGCTTTGACCTTTATTGGTGACTTGGTGATAGCATTGTGATGGATACTGGTTTTGTTCTTTAACCGCGGCCCAACCACAGATACCAAATACATCCTAATAATAAATGATAGTCAATAATTACTTTTTGAAATCCATCAGTTTGAGTTGCTTTGGGTGGCCCAAGCGGCCAGCTTCAGATCCACTATGTTCCACTAGAAATTGTCCATGATGGGAGTTGCCGTCCTGTTGCCGCATGTTTTCGAGACTTTGTGATTTTGCTGGGATGTCCGAAAGCCAGCAGGATTTTGCCCATTTGCGGCAAGAAATATGAAGCAAAAACGCCAGAAGGATCCACCCTGAGACTTTGGAGTAGCCAATTTAAACCATCAAACCACAAAGTGGCCCTAGAGGCCGAGACCATACCCCACTTGCCTATTTTGTTCAGGAAACGTCGCAGTGGAATGTCGAAAGCGCGACGGCCGGCGGCACCCCTGTTCTCAGCTGATGGTGGTGGCCACTTCTTTGGGGCTCCTGACGTTCTTCACCATCCGAGCCCTGGGGGAAAGTTATGGCAAGGTGCTGGTCTGCCAAGAACACGGAAGACACCTAGCTGTAGCTGGTATGGTTCCACAGCTGTGAAGCACACGGGAGATCACGGAGATCTTGGGATATGTGAAATCAATTAGACGGATACAATTCTGTTTGGTGGCTTGAAACTAGTTTGCCCACACAATGATTGGGAGTCATGCAAGTTTTGCCTCACTCCCACCTTTCAGAAGGTGTGGTCAATCACCATTCACCCCGACCCAGGAAACTCTGAGGGCGATGACGACGATGTGAATGGCTGGATTACCTTGGGTTTTGCTCTGGGAAACATGCTCTTCGATATCATTTGCTTGGTGAACTTCTTGAAGAGCCACAAGCAGACAGGCAGGGACAGCATGCTGCCAGTGATCGCACCGTTTTACACCATTGTGTGTATCTTCGGTAGGATGTGTAGGCAGATAGATGGTTAGTTACATCCTAGAATCTAGAGTTAATAAGTGCAGATATTGAACCCATTTAAATCCATATTAGTCTGCCACAGGGTACCATACACACATATTTATATACATGCATATATATATATATATGCATATATATTAATAATTAAATATATATATATATTATTTTACATATATATGTATATGTATATTTACATATGCATATACATATATATATGTACACATATATTTATTTATATGCACATATATGTATATATTTGTACACATATACATATTTTTATACACATATATCTACATCAATATATATATACACAGTATATGCATGGGATCTCTGCATGTTGATTTCATTCTGGGTTATATATGGTTATTTTGGGTTACCCTGTTGATCCCTCCTCACAAAGTTTCGTTTAAAATGGCGAGAGTGCACAGCCCCACCCATGGGGATGTACATCCCAGTTGCTGACTAAAACATAAGCTATAGAAACCTCGAAAACAATAGACCGGAAGACTTCTGCTAACATAGTAAAAGTATGTAAAAGTCACGTGTCCATCCTTTTTGGGGCTGTTCTTGATGTATAGATACATAGATAGATGTACATATATATATATACACACACATATATATATATATGTACAGGCAGTGCAGATTGAGATCAAGATATATGCAACGAAGTGCCTCTAGTGGTTTCTAAGCACATTAGGGAACCACTTTTTTATCAAGACATCGCGGCATCACTCCAGGCAGTGGAAAGCATGCGAATATGTTCTCCGCCTTCCTCCATGTGGGTGCTGACTTCCTCAGGGCCTTCACTGCGCTGGCCGTTTGGCGTTTGGCAGTGGATTGAATGTAGATGTTTGGACGTTGGTGTCCATGACTATTTTTAATTCCTCTGAAGGGGAAAATATTGTACTTACTGCCGGTTGGTGGTTTGGA